ATAGAAATTACGGTTGTCTCGATCCAGTTTATTAAGCATCATCATAATGTTATCACCACCTGCCCAGTTACCCTTTTCTGGTACACACATACCGCATTTTTCGCCATTATCTATTGGTGTGACGACCGGAGCAACAGTATCTTCTTTAGAAAAGGAAAATAGAAAATGCCAATGAGATAATCACAATTGTTTTTATACACTCACTATGCTGCTGATTGATTTCTTCAGACATCACTTGTGATGATACCGAAGAGTCAGCGAAAGGATTAAATATACCATTGCTGACGCATTCGGCTCGAGAAAAAATAAGTTGTGATCTCCACAATTTATACGTTTCAATTAGCTGTTTGTTGCGGGATTTTTTTGTAATACCAAGAACATGTCTTTGATCTTTCAAATGAGAAGAAAAAATAGTTTTTTTATTATTATTATTTTCTTACTGGAGCCGACAATGCGCAAAGGGCCGTGTAATTTGAGTGCACTTTGTACCAACTTTTTCCGCGTAAGGAAGAAACTGAAGAATAAATCAAAATAGCAAAACAACAAATTACTTGCGTCGTTTTTTGGTACCTTTTTCGGCCGTTTATAAAATCGTCGTTTGTGATCGGAAAGTATAGAGCATTGTTATCAGGTTCTTTATGAACGCTAGAATCATCAGTATCAAGTGGATATGGATGCCCACACACGGTGGATTCCATATCATTCGGCACAGTGACAGAAGCCACGCGAATATATTGAGGTAGAGTACCATTACGCCACTCTTCTAGTATCTAATTAAGAAAAATAAGAAAAGTTTTTTCCTGTATCTTAGCAGTACACATATTTGTTTCGAAATATGAAAGAGTAAACTCACAGTTAAATAACGCAAGAAAGAATCGAGAAGCAGTTTACTCTAAGTTTGAAGGATAGAATATCTAAAATGCAGCTCAATCTCTCATGTTTTATAGAAGAGTTTGTGAAAGCAATCGAAGCGCACTCTAAAAATATCGGTACTGTGACAAATCCTAACGGGAGTTCATAGTTTTTTACTATCGGATACGTTTTAAGAATTTCCGAGCATCTGAACAACCTTTTGTTACATTTTGTCTCAAATCCAGTTTAGCCCGTTCCGGAGTTTTTTGTATTGTCCTGATACCAGTTTTTAGCCCAAAAACTATTTGAGACTGTCCCCCAAGACTCTAAAGAAATGATAATAGAATTTCAGAAGGAGATCTTGACTTTTGTTCTCTTTAGTAATCAAAATCGAAATTAGTATTGCTTTTTCTCACCTCGATAGTTGGATATTCGAGGTTCAGCTGATTATCTTCAGCACGAATATAACGTTGAAATCGATTTCCAGTTTCACATTGTTCGCTGCCATATCGCTCACGATAGAGTGCCTTGGGTTGTGCAATTATTCGAATTTGCTGACTTGGTTGAGTCATTGCGAAAACTTGGCTTGATTAGTTGGTAAGAATTTTGTAGAGGAACTTGCTAATGGTGATAGTGGATACAACAAGACTAATATTGGTGTTGAGCTATTGGTATTTCGAGATGAATAATCCCTAGACTGATTTTCAGAATCTAAATGAAGTAAAAACACACATAACTGATAAAAATCTGAATAAAGAACTAATATCGTACTCAAGTCGATATGAAAAACAAAGTTGGATTGCTTATAATACTCAGGCGATCTAATCCTGACTCAAAATCCTCTGAAAAGTTCGAATCGTATATCGAATTACTCCAAAAACCGGTGTTTTCTCCAGAAAAACTAGCCGGATTCGACTTGAATTTCGTCGCATCTTTCTCTTAGGTAAAACTGTAAAATGTTAGATTCCGTAATAGATCTAGCCATATTTTCTAAGAATATGGCACCTGAAGTCCGGATAGAATAATGTCAGAAACATGTCAGTTCGATCCTTTAAGATTCACTTTTTTTAACGAGAAGAAGCTTTCAAAAATATTGATTTTAAAAAATAAAAAGAATTTTAATTTCTTAAGGGTACCCCCCCCCCCTCTTCTTCGACCCTTCCTGGATCTCGAAGACGGTAAGGCCGATCGAGTTGAAATTTTTGTCACAGATAGAACATATAAGTTCATTAGACACGTGTTCGAGGAAAAAATTTTCAAAGACGATTTTCATAATTTTTTTTGAAAAACTTTGGTTTATCATATGTTCTCATCTTGACATAGACGACCCCCCTTTAAGTTTTGCCGATTGGGCTGAAAATTTTTTTGTGGATACCTACGAGTATATCTCAGAGGTATGTTTCAGGATTTTCAAAAATCTCACTTACTTCTTTTTATAACAAAAATACAAAAAGGTTTTTGCCGGAACCTGGTTTCTGGCCTTGAAAACCCTATAAGCTAGGACGGAAATATCAGAATTGAAAACGGCCGATTCTACCTCTGGAGAATACTTGAAAGTATCCCTGGTGAAATTTTCAGCTCGATCGGACGAAATTTGAGGGTGGTCGCCCATGGCACAACTCGTTACTTTGCTTCAAAAACTGGTTTTGAGAAAAACATAAAAAAAATTTGGTAACTAGCTGATTTTTTTTCAACTTTTTTATGAACAACTTTTGATGGAGAATCTTCTGAAAGCAGACAAAAAAGGTTTTTGAAAAACTTTTTTTCGGGCGAGAGTTTTTTGTGGAGATTCGATAGAAAATGAACGGCAGGTGTGATCGACGTTTTTTAAACGCCGATCGAAATACCAACAGATGGTCTATCTGGTACGCATATAAAAAAAAAATTTCAAAAAAGTTTTGGGCAAAAAAAAGAGGGGGGGGGTACTCTTAAATCTACGACGCACTAGACGAATAAGTCATCTCGAAAAGATAAATTATATCGATTGCTCGGAAGAAAGAGATCAATTAATATTGGCGATAATTAAATTCGTAGAACAACTCCATCTAACAATAGTTTTGAACGATCTTACGCAGGGTGACTGACGAATTCGGTCTCGTGTAGGCTTCATCCCGTCTCTCCACTTAACTATAGAAAATGTGCTGCTCCACGATAGATAACCTGTGGATTGCACACCTGTCGTTGCAATACACTACCTAAATCACTGTATTGTAATATGTTTTTCGATATGATTTAAAAAAAAAAGAATGATGAATGAGATATTTGCTGTTTTTATTCAGGTAGACATTTACGTCAGCAGATGCGTAATTTTTTTTATCAAAATATCATGTATATATCTTCCAGTCATCGTTTATTTAATGCGCATATCTAATGTCGTACTTGATAGAATGAAATAAATGACAAAAATCCAGGTATTCAGATTAATCTATCATTTTTATTATACCATTTGTAACTAGCATTTAGATAGAGAACCCGCATAGAAATAATCAAGGACCCAGTCATTTTCTTATAAATAAAGGTCTGAATCAGTGTTTTTATCATTACATATATCATCAAACTTAGCAATTAAAATTACTGCTATAATGATTTGTGACAAAAATTATTAATTTGATTATACATATTCCGAATTCATTCCTAATATGCTAAGTAATAATCATTAAACAGATATCTACTCACTTTGACAAAATTTTCAATATCACACAAAAAATAAAGCAGACAAGTACGTAATTATTATGATCATTATTTAATGTGATTAAAGTACAGATCACATCGATGACTGCAACATTCTATTCTCTTTCTCCTCAAAATATTTATATAAATATCTATTTCTTATTGCCGGTAATCGTATGATGCGTTATTGCACGTTTTTTTTTCAAATGTACAATATTTCGGAGGGTGTATTAATGGTTATAGCTTTTTTTCATTCTTCAACAAGGTATATACAACGCACATTTCCTGTTCTACGTAATTGTCTAATGAGACACTCATAAATGGTCGATAAAGATGAGGCAAAAACAAAAACAAAATATATATTGCTTATTTTATATCAATGTTGCGACATAATCAAATTTCATATTTGATTTATTATGATTCGGCTATTGCATCTCATTTATTTAATATGACTGCGAAGATATACTGAATTACACACAATAAAATTTTGTTTCAATCTGTCTATTTTTTTATTTTACATAATATTAAAAAGAACTCTTGGTTTGTACTTACAACACAAGAGAAAAAGCTGATTCTGCAGCTACCAGTCGTGGAGATTTTATTTACATACTTTCAAAAAACAATAGATGATAGAAAAAAAATAATTTTATTCAGTAGGATTGTTGATTTCACATTGTTTTTGTAGAGATTATATATCTACAACTATATACTCAAATTAATTTTATTTGTAAGATGCTTAACGTTGTTTATATCTGTTAAATAGAGATTTTTTATTTACATCAAAGAAGAATTAAATACAATATCATTTCTTTCTTTTTTCATAAGATTTTTTTAACTTTTATTGTTTTTGTTTTATTGAAAAAAAAAGAATCATTGACATCAAATCTAGGAAGAAAATATTTCCTAGATTACTATTTATTTAATAAAGAACAATTGACTATTGATCGTTATACAAATTTTCTATTTTATTGAAATAAATATCCCTTTAATTTTTCTTTCACTCGATAAAATGGATTCAACTGAAATCGATAAACCTACTGTGAGAAAATTAATTGACGTTATTTAATTATCTCTAGAGAAGAAATTAGTTTCAGGTACTATTTTTGAATATAATTGAGTATTTAGAATTTTATCTTTATATGAAATTTATAATGATCATTCTTCATTAACAATGTTAATAAATATCAATTATATTTAAGAAAATTTCTAAAATATTTTGTTTTTCTCAAAATAAATTTTTCGTTTTGTTAAGGTAATTTCAATATTACTTTTTTAAGAATGTTTCATGTTATACGATAATTAACATTATATTTTGTTGAATCTTGCATTTAAGCTAGGAAATTTCATCAAGATTTTAATCAGATATTTTAGGTGAAGATTATTTGATTTACTTTCGTGCTGTACAATGCTTTTAGTAACATTCTTCAAGTACTTATACAGGGGCATCTATTATGTCAACTGTATAGTATTCGATATTTCACGTAAATGTTTTTTTTTATTTTAGAATTTAGAAATTTACTTTTGTATTATTTTTTAGATATTAATTAATCAGAATTGAATAGTATTTTTCAAAATATCCTTTATTTAATGTATGATATCAATTTAATATAAAACATTGAAAAAATCTTCTTAGTTAATCAAGCTAAATATTTTTTCTATAAGAATCGAAAATTGTTAGTGAAAATCAAATTAAATTGTATCAACAAATTTGTGATTTAAATGATTTAAAATAGTTTATGTTTGATTTTTGTCTGATTTAAATCAACTTTTCCCCCTTTCGTTTTAACACTAGGTGGAACAATTCATACTATTTTTGAACTTGAAAAAACACATCTTTATTGACATTTCTAATAAGGAATCATTTCAATCTGTTAGTTATCTAAGATAATACTGAATTCAATAAATGGCAAAATGTTTCGAGACTATATATTTATAACAACAGAAAAGTTTATTTATTTTTTCAAATCTGGTTTATCAAAACGAAAAGATATTTTCTGATCAAAGCGTTTGTTATATGGTACTTCATGTAACCATCGATCGTAAAACTTTTGAAAACGATTATATGATGAACTTAATAATTGATATTCATCATTATTCACATTAGCATGTTCCTAAAGAAATAGAAAAATGAAAATATATTAGAGAAAAAAAATAAGATTTATACCATTGTAAGTATTTTTGAACGAATTTCTGATAAAAACTTTTCCATTCGTTCAACAAATCTTTGATTCACCGGTAAATTATACGTTCGATATGATTCACAGATCAATATAAGTAAAGGAAAATTTGTACGATGAAAGGCATTGTTTAGTATTGCTTCAAAGATTTTTTGATTTGGTTTTAAATTAAGATCCTGTATACATATATATATATACAATCATATTTAATAATAAAAGTAAAGTTTACTTTCATTTCATTGAATAATTGTTCAGCGTCAGATTTAGTCATACATCCTTTTGCCAATGCTGAAAATGTATATTCATCAGGTGATAAACATTGTTCACGCATAAGATCAAGTACTTGCTAAAAGATTTTTGTTTTTAAATATGTTAAAAAACAAATATTAATAATGATTACCAATGCTTCTTGTTTAGCTCCTCGACGAAATCGTCGAAGAATAAGAACATTATAAAATTGAATATTTGGTTTCACTTCACATACATTTGACACATGAATAAGTGCTTGTTCATGTTCAGTTACAGATGGAATAAGCTAAATATTGAAAAAGAAATATTTTATTAGTTAGATAAAGTTATCTATTTACATTAAGAAGTGTATTAAAGATGATATGATTAGGTACTACATTACATTCTTGCATATGTTTTAATACACCAGGAATACCACCTAATAACATGAGTCTTTCAGCAGATGAAGAAGGCATTCGAAGATGTATAAGATTTGGTTGTTCATATGACATATTTGGTTTGAGAATATTTGCATCACTAAATGGACGTAAATGATTTGATAATACATGTCCTTTTCGAATACCATCTGGATCTTGCCACCATTCAGAAGATAATTCTGATGATGTTGAACTATCTTGAGAGGAAGAAATTAATTGTTTGTTCTCATCATTGAATGTTGATGGTATTTGATCAAATGTATTGATGGAAGAAAGAAATGAAGGTCCACGATATTTTTGTTGCTCTTTATCTTTCGCCTCTGCTTCATCGATAAGAAATTGTTGTGGTAGTGGCGGAAAAAGTAAACTATGCATTGATTCCGATGAACCTAATCCACAATGACATGCAATATTAAGTAAAAGACCAAAATGAAATGGAGTTGGTTTGATATCAAAAGCAAGCATTCGTCGCCAAATCTATATCATTTTAAATTTTGTAATTCTTTTAAAATCTACTTTTGTCAGTCTTACTTCAATTGCATATTTAAAACCAGCATTTTTTTCTGACTGACATGCAATTAATAATGATGCATACGTATCTTCATTTGGTATAAAACCAACTTCAGCCATTTCATCAGCGAGTTGAAATGCCATTTTAAGTTGACCATGTTTACCAAATGCAGCAATGAATGCATTATATGTTCGATATTCTATACGAAATCCTTTCGATTTGATTTCATCTAAAAATTGTGTTGCACATTCAATAGCCATACTACTATCTGATGCACGATAACAAGCATTAGCAAGTAATGTAAATATTTTAGTCATCTTTCGAGAATCAACTGTTGTATAACCTCGATCTTTCATCTAAATCAAATATTTATTTATTTATCTACTTTGAAAACAAAATTACTTCTCGATAAAGATCAAATGCTTGTGTTAAATAACCATTTCGTGCACAAATACCAATAACAACTTGATAACAAAAAAGATTCGGAGCAATTCGTTCTTTATCCATCATGACATTATAGAAATAATCAAGTGTTTCTTGAACCTAAACAAAATCTTTTTTAGTTTTTATAAATATTGAAAATAATCTAACCTTATTTTGTGATGCTAATTGTTTTAATTTCCCTGCAAAATACCATATTGGATATCGACGTCCATCTACAGCTAATGATATTGGTTCATCCGGTTCTTTATCTTGTTCATCTTCATCAAGATCAGTATCAAAATTGATTTGAAAATTATCTTCTTGTACAATTCCATCTGATGTAACATATGTATCACTAAGTAATTACAATTGATTAGTCTCGAAATATAACAATAAACTAAATTTATTCTACCGAATTATTTTATTTTCTTTAATAAATGATGATAATGGTGTTTTTGGAACAATTTGTCGTTGTTCAAGTTCTTTAACCCATTGTTTATGTTTTCGTTTATTTTTTTCTTTGAATCGTGATGATTTAGAATCAGCAAATATATAATCTTTTTGTGACTTGATGCTCTTGGAACTAATATCATCGTCTTCATCATCATTATCAATACTTGCTAAATTTTGTATAGGAATTTTATTTGTTGAGTTCAATCGAATAACAATTGAAGATGGTAATAATCGAACTGTCTTTAATATTCGATACATTTATATAATTATAATAGGAATAATCTCCGATAATTCATACTAAATTCTATTGGATAGAAATATACAAATCAAAAATAAGATATGATTGGAGGAGACGAATAGAAGCGTTGAATGACATAAACATTTTTTTTCTTCTTTATCGGTCAAGCAAGAAATAGAATCTTCAAATGAAATGCCGTTTAATAAACGGACTGTTGAACCAATTTATTTGAGTCAAGTACAAATTCCAAAAGATATTCCAAATGAACTTGAATGTGTTGCTAATCATACTTTTGCAAATGTCATTCGACAATTAAGTTCATTGAGTGCTCATGTACAAGATCTTTTCGATGAATTAATAGCTGATGCTGGACATATATTTCAACGTACAGAAGCATTACATGGACGAATTGAAAGACTTAAACATAAAGTAACAGAATTAGATTCAAATATTGATGAAGTAACTATTCAAGATGTTAACAATCGAAAACCATTTGTTAGTGTTACTCGGATTGATCAACAAGTGGTTAATCGTGCAACAATGCCGAAATCCCTTCATTTTCTCTATGAACAAGCTGAACCAGCACCTGCACTTCATCTACTAAATCCTTATCGGTTTGTTTATATAATTTTCGATCTATTTTATTAGAAAAAAATTCATTTTTATAGTGATGATGGTCGTGATTCAATGAAATTTTATACAGATCCTTCTTTCTTTTTTAATCTATGGATGCAATCAATGATACAATCTCCACAACATCATCATCATCATGGTCATCGATCTGGTAAAAGTGAACGACATCGATCACCGGTAGGATTTAGTTACAAAGGCAATACGGAACCTAATTATTTATATATATATATATATATATGTTTTAGAAAGGATATCAACAACAACAAATACATTATCAAGAATCTATCTATGCTACAAATCCAATATCATCTTCACAATCTCGTCTTATTCGACAGACATCTGAAGAACAACAACAATATCGAAGTCCTCAAGAATTTATACGTCATCAAAATGGTTTCGATCGTTTAGCTCATGGAACTGTTCGATCACAATCAAATTATCCAAATAATAATCATCGACATTATAATTCAGATTTAGTGCAATATGGTAGTCCAACTTTATCATCATCGTCATCTGCACGTGAACAACAATCAATAACAATAAATTTTAGTACTAGTACACCAGAAGCATCATCCCATGGTCTAAATGGATATAGTACAGAACAATCACCTCGACTTACAATTCATTCGCCAGCTATTAATCGATACGCTCCAACAACACCACCACCACCTCCGCCACCACCATTGTTGTCTCAATTTGAACCAACAAATCATATGTCACAACATTTAATAATGAAACAAACAATTACTAGACCATCTGCTAGTCCTCCGCCACCACCATTACCACCACCGCCACCTCCTCCACCAGTATGAATTTCTTTTCTATTCTTTTTTTGACGCATGTTTTTGTTTTTTTATAGAATATGGGTATGGCTACATTAGCAACTATTTCTGAACTTGATAGTTTACCTCCACCACCAGCCGATTTTATCGAACAATCTCCGTCACCGCCTCCGCCACCACCACCTCCTCCACTTCTGATGTCATCGAATATTCCTCATGCACCACCTCTACCAAATACAACAATTCAATCACTTGTTATGCGACCTTTATCGACAAATGTACCAACAGCAGTTAAAAATAGTTCAGATAATAACAATGTTTCTATTACATCAGAAACATTAATTCAAGATAAACGTCCCTATATTAATCGAGATCTTCATTCTGATTTATTAGACGAAATTAAAAAAGGTATTCAACTAAATAATCGTAAGAAAGAAGAAGAAAAGAAAGCTGTAGTATCAACAAAAACAACATCACTTAATGTTATGGCAATTATGGAACAAGCGGCTAAATATCGTCGTGATAAGATCCGGCCAGAATCTGAATCAGAAAATGATGATGAATCATCACGATGGGATGATAGTGAATAAAATTCATATCTAACTTTCTTCTTTTTTTTTTATTGTATATATATAATATTTGTGTATGTATGTATGTGCCTTCCTTTTCTTTTTCCTATATTTATACTGATGACGTGCAAAGCAGATTTTTTTTTTCGAGATGAATAATAATCAGTCTGATATATACGATGAACTTATGTCAAAAGATTGGATAACAAATCTAGATGAGAGTGAATATGGTCTTGTTCGATATGATGAACTACCAAGCTATGAAACATTTATTCGGGAATGTTTTCTTAAAAATCGTCCAGCATTATTTACAGCTAAATGTGGTCTTATGAATCAATGGACATGTATTACTGATTGGTTAACTGAAGCTCGAACAGAACCTGATTTTGATCGATTAATAAATTTATATGGTTCAATGATAGTACCTGTAACAAAATGTTCATCAAATGTAACTGAATATGGTTCTGATGAAAATAAATTAACAATGCGTTTTGATGAATTTGTTCATTTGTGGCGTAATAATGATACAACAGCACAATATTATTGTAAAGATTGGCATTTACAAAAAATGTCTGACGAAACAAAACCATTATTTTATTCTATTCCAATTTATTTTCAATCTGATTGGCTTAATGAAAAATGTCTTGCAGAAAATGAAGATGATTTTCGTTTTGTTTATATGGGTGGTGATGGAACAAGTACACCATTACATATGGATGTTCTTGGAACATATTCATGGTCAGCAAATATTTGTGGTCGTAAACGATGGTGTTTCTCTAAACCATATCCTATTGAATTTATACAAGAACCAGGTGATATAGTATTTGTACCATCAGAATGGTATCATGATGTGACAAATATTGGTTATACAATATCAATTAATCATAATTGGTTTAATGCTTTTAATATTTTTCGTATATGGAAACATTTATGTTTAACACTTGATGATATTGAACATCGAATTGAAGATTGTCGTTCTCTAATGAGCGATACTTGGTATGAACATTGTCAAGTAATACTTCAAGCAAATGAAGGAATGAATTTTATTTCACTTTATAAACTAGTATATATCATTGCTCAAAGACGAATTACAGATGATAATACTAATAAACATGCAAAATTTGATTCATGGATAATTGAAAAATTGATACAAACTATGTTACACACTTCTACTTTTTTATATGCTTGTGATTTTGATACACTTCCTCAACGACCAAAAGCATTAGTTAAACAAATTCATTCATATATTGAAAAACAAAAACAATAAAATGTATGGACGGATAAAAATGCAATAAAGACTAATTATTTGTTGTTGTTTTTTTCACTCAAAAAACGAAGGTCCTTCATAAAAATTTGATAAAATAATAACATGTCGTTTAATTGGATCAATAATCATATAAGCAAAATCTTGTTCATATGCTGTACGTGATGGATAAAATTTTTTACCATTTTCATTCTAGAGAAAAAAAAATAGTAAGATATTTCTGTATAAAGTTCTACTTACCAATGCTTCTATTTTAAAAACAGGTGAAACAACTTGAATTGTTTGAGATTCAGCATCTTTTTGAACACTAATTACTTCTTTATAAACAGATTTTGTTACATCAAGGTAAGGTTGAACGTCATCTTCATATTCTATCAAGAAAAAAAACAAAATTCTCTATAGTTTTTATTGACATACGCATAACTTACGACAAACTTGTCCACCCAAACAAAAATGTTTAAATAAACTAAAACGAAAAACATATTTATTGATCAAAAATAAAAGGGTTAATCTATTTTCATACTGAAATATAAATTCTTTTCGATCATTATCTGAAAATATATCATAACTGTCAAATTCATCCATAATTAAAACCTACAAAATAAAAATAGCTATTGAATTTATCCAAAAATCAAAACTCTACTTTTCGAAGTTCATCCGAGATAATAAATTCATCTTTATATTCTTCAATACATTTTTTAATATGTCCTTGTTCACGTATAATTTTATTGTTAAATAAACGATCAAAAAATTCTAATGAGAGAATATTTGTATTTAATTGTTCAATACGAACATCATGAGCTGGTTGACCAAGTAATTGCCATTCACCTGCTTTAGTAAACATTTTCAATGTATTCAAAACATTAGGATCTTTGAAAAAATCCTATTATATATAAATAAGATATATAAAACGAAATATTAATATAATCAAGATTACCAAAATAAATTTTTTAGCATTATATTCAGGAAATGTTTGATCAAAAATATACATATTTGCTCGTATTTTTCCACGCATACCCCTATAAATTCATATTTGTTTAATTGAATTCTATAAAATTATTTACCATTTAATTAAAGGATCTCGATTTTGTTTACCATCGATACTTTCAAATTTTTTATCAATAGCTTGAAAACGATATTCACTAGTAGGAATGTTATTCTCACTCATTATAATCTGAAAAAAATGCAATAGATGAGATAATCATACTTACCAAGAATCAAAATCAAAGAATATTTATCTATATTATCTTATATACGAAAAACATTAGTTAAGATATAAGCTATCATTGCTTTTACTAAACAACATACATTTTATTTAAACGCACAATAAGATAGCAAATTTAACTTTAACTATTAACTTCAGCAAACATTGCTTGTTGTTGAGTATCATCTATTGAATGACCATTTGATTGATCTTTAAATACAATTGGTTCATTAGCAACAAACATAACACCATTTAATTCACAAGGCCCAGCAAATATATCTGGTCCATTTTCAGTACCAAGAACGTATTTAGGATGTATTGCTAGTGCTCGTAATAATGTTTGACTTGTATAACATAAACGATCTTGTTCTTCCAATGTCATTATTGGTTTTGGTCGAGATAAATTCGTATATGTATCATTAATTGGATCATATAAACCATTTGAACCAGGTAAAAATAGACCACTTGATAAAAGTTGTAATGCTCGTCTATATATATTAGAAAATAAAATTTAAATTTAATCCATAGATGTCATATTTACTTAAAAGCATAACTAGGAGGTAATTGTTCTGTTGAATTATTATTATTTGTTACACAATGATGAGCAAGTAAATTAATTAACCATGGATTAAGTGGTTCAAGACCATTAAAACGTTGTCGTAAATCTTTTAATAAACGAACAAGAAGTTTATTTGATGGATGAATACAAACTTCATCAACCCATTTTGCATGTTTAATTGCATAAAAATTTTGTTTACATATTGTTCGATCTAAATGAAGTGATGAATCAAGTGATTGCCAATTTGTTGGTAATGTTGTTAACAAGACATGTACAGCCATGTTACCATTTTCAAGTGAAAGACCATAATCAGTAGAACGAATTGAAAGTACTATTAATAAACATGTTTTTTTGATATTTTTGGAAAACAATAGAATACTTACATTCAATTTCATTTTGAAGATCTTGTTTTAAACGATTGCCTAATTGATCTATTGCTTCTCCTAAATATAAGTATAGTTTATAGAGAAGAAAAATAACTATATTAAATATACTTGTTGGAAGTGTTTTAAGAACTACAACAAGATCAGATGTAAGAGGTATTTGAGAACCAATTGGTGGATTGTTTATTGTATTATGTTTATATGAACCAACATCACGAACTTCACTTACTTGCTAAAAAGAAATAGATATATATGCGTTTTTGTATAAGAAATGACATACACAAGCAGTAAATGAACTTGGTGAAAGAACAAGTATATCAAGTTTTTGTCGAATAACTGAACCAAAATTCATCAAAGCAAAACTATCAGCTGCTGCTGGTGTTATTTGTTGAATACGTTCCATAATAATCTAAATAAAATAAGATTCATTCAATGAACACAACGATAATTAACTAACTGCAGTTAATATTGGATCATCGAAAAGTTGTTTTATCGATGGAAATGCTTCAGGTAACTAAAAAAAATAAATTATATATTATAAGAAGTAAGTATATTGTGACATATACGTTTAAGAAATCAAAGACATCACTTGATTGATTCTGTTGAAACTGATGTTGAGAAAATGGAGGTCTAATGAAAGATGCAAATAAATTCATTTTAAAAATAATAATAAAATCTTTAATTACCGATATGAATGTTGATAAGGTGGTCGATTTTGACGCCAAGGTGGAAAACGTGGTCGACTACGTCGCATATTATTTAATTTTAATAAAAAAACCGATCAAATAATCTAAAGAAATATTGCTCTGATTATTATTACTACTTTTTTCTTCTTTCGATTGTCAACGAACCAAAATTTAATAAGATCAAATCATTGATAGTTACCAATAGATGTCGTTTAAAACGCTTATATCATATTTAAAAAGTATATATCTCGGCATGTTTTTGTCATATAACATTTCTCTTCAATAACTATTTACTCAAAGATATTTTACATAGACTTCGACCTTCTACAAAATAATGCAAGTATTTGATAGTTATATTACTTCTTTTAGATTTTATTTTGAATGGATTCGATACCAATTCATACGCAGATATTGATGGTGATTGGAAAGATAGTTCTTACATTATTTTATGGTACATTAGGAACATTTTCCACAGTTCTTCTTCTTATTTATAATGGTCCAAGTAAATTTTTCCGACGTGTTGAACGAGCAACACCACCAGCACAAGCAATGGATCCTGTCTATGGAAAACATGATATGATTAAATTAAAAGCAAGTTGTTTTTCTTCTACCAATATGACTCATAAAAGTTCATAATCTTTTAGTCATCTGGCATTAGTCTTCATTATGTATCAAAAGGTACATCAGATCAACCGTTAATGTTATTTGTTCATGGTTTTCCTGAATGTTGGTATACATGGAGATATCAAATGAAATTTTTTTCAAAAAATTATCGGTAAATTAATCAATAATTATCTTAAAATACTAATTATTATTTATTGTAAAGAGTTGTTGCTTTTGATCTA